TAATACATTTAAATTTGAAACTGTAACAGCCATTTTAATTATGAGCATTAGCAAACTTCTTACTGAGTGAATTGTTATGCAAATTAGCAATTATCTCAGCTTCTTTTTAGTCCACATTCCAAAACTTTAAAAAAAAAATAGCTCGTAGACGCTTTGACCTTTTGTTTTGAAATTTTCACAAATGATTGACAATGTGTTTATCTTCAAAACGCCGTCGGGGCATTGTTTTTAGTTTAATAGTGTTATAGCAATCGTACAGACAACTAGCCTGGGTATTAATTTATGCATAAACTTGAAGTAGTGAAATTTGAGCTGCTGCCCTACAAAATTGACAACTGGTAGACAGTTTTCAAGACGGCGCTTTCTTCATAGTAAACAGATATACCCATAAACCAATTTTGACAGGAAACAGAAGCATGGTTGAGAAGCTAATTTTTTTTAAATCACTTTTGACCAAAAAAGCACATTTTTGTGCATATTTCAAACTACAGTGTCCATAAAAAAAAATACTAACAAAACTTTAAAATTCATACAATAAACTTTCCGAAAATACATAGTTTTGTGCACAAGGGAGGTCATCTTGGTTTCCTAATTAACTAATTAAAATACCTGTCAGGTAAACTGCATCTCTACCTTAAATGAAAAAAAACAAAAAAACATTTGCATTTTGAATTATTGTTCTTACCCAAGTTCTCTTCCATTTTGACAGCCGACTGCTGATACATCTGACTGGGCGTCTTGGATCTGCTCTGAACCTTCTTGTGCGCGTGGTGTTTGTCGAATACACTAGAACACTTCAAACATTGATACTGATGGATCAAACACTGTGAGTTGTATTGATATTTGTCTACCAATGGTTGCAGAATCTCCAATAATAACTACAAAGTGAGCAAAAAAAAAAAAAAACAGTTTTGGCAAAACAATGTCTTCTGAATGAGGACTGAAATATTATTGTTCAAAGTTATTATGTGCTCTGGGGTTAGACTGAAAATATCATCTAAACTGTGCTCTCTGACACGTACATGATTAGCTCAAACCAATAACAAAAGGCATCCAGTTTCTCAGAATGAATGTTGTTTTGATTGGCATATACCGGTCACAACAATAAGGAAGTGTTGTGTTATCCAGTGTACACAACTC